TAAAAAAGAAAATAGTTGGATGAATAATTTAAATTATTTAACTATTATAGTGTGTGTATAGAGGGTTGGGTTTGGGTTCGGGGGATGGTTACATCCCCAAACCCGCTCCGACCCTGTCACTGCTTTTGCAAATTGGAAAAATTCACCATCCGATCCTACCTGTACCCACGGTCAAGATTTTATTTCCATGCCTAAACTTGACATGTATAGTCAAATTTGGCAGGATCACAAACCAAAAGTTACAAGAGAAAGTTGTAACTTTTAAATTGTAGGCACTTTAATAATTTTATTTGAAAAGTATAGGAAGTTTCAGTTTTGTTGATTTTTAAATATAATATACGCACAACAAAGTTGTAAATACACAAAAGTTGTGTGTTTAGTAACATCAACTTATAATTTATTTAAAAGTTTATAATTAAATTTTTAAAAAATAACATTCAACTTTTTGCTCAACTATCAATCAGCTAGCTACAAAGCTACAAGCTTTTAGATCGCCAAGGCCATATATCAATTCTAACATTTTTAGCAACTTCAAATAAGGATATACTTAAATATGAAGCCAATTCTAACATATATCTTTTCAATTTTGAATTTGAACACAAAATTTGGCCCATATAAATTGGCCAATAGTCTTTGTTCTGAGTTCTTCAAATTAACCTTCGTATACTTTAAAAACTTGTTGTAAGGTATACATGGGAGATATGTAGATGTCAAAGTTATAGTGTATGTATATAAGCATGAAGTAAGTATATGCGAGCATGGGATGTAAACTTTTTGAAATTTGTCACAATCACACCACATTTCATCTAACTGTATTGTAAATCTTTCAACAAGTCGAATTTCTATCGGATGTTGCGTTTCTTCGACTAAAAATATAGTGCTTGTTATGTCAAAGATGATGACTCTATGAGTGTTTGCCTTTGACTTTACATCTTCAATTGCTTTAGTTACAACCTCCGAGTACATATGTGCAGCATTAATCATTTAATCTACTTCCTTACTTCTGTCAATAAAGAACTTATTACAAAAATTTATTTTAACAAAATAAAAATATATAAATATAATTTAAATAATAATATTTATTTTATCATTTAAAAACAAAAAAAAATAAAAACCAACTCAAAATTCAGTTCTCTCGTAACTGAATTCTAGGTGGCCAAAACTTTAGGTCTATTTCAGTAATTAAATTGATATGGGGTCTATTTGAGTTTTTTTTAATTTATAATTTTACTGGAAAAAAGTCGCGTTTTTACTTATTTCATTTAATTAGTTACGCTATACGTGTCATTTATGTATTTTTAATTTACATTTAATATTTGAAATATAATAAATGAATACTTATTTTGATTTTAAGAAATATTTTCAAAAATTGTTTTGTTGTATTTTTCAAGAATCTTCCCTTTAGAAAGTCAAATTTCAATATATTTGTGTGATTGTAATAAAAAAAATATTAGTTTTGTTTCTATGAATTTATAAAGAAGTCTTTATAAAAAAAAAATAGTATAAATAATGAATAAAAATAATTTATTTTTTAAAATTTTATTTAAGTTTAAATAAGAGAGCTTCTCAAAAGTTCTCAAAAATAAAAAAATATAAATTGTTTTTAATTTATTTTAGAAATTTTATTTATTTTTTATACTATTTTTTTTTTTACAAGTGAAAAAAATGTAAGCATAATATTCATGGATAAAAAAACATTACACACCAAACATCTTCTAGAAGGCAAATTTGTTAGCCATAAAGTAAAATCAACATAAACAATGGTATGGTAGCTTTAAGACCAGACTATATTGGAGTAAACCCGCTTATACCATGTGGGAACAAGGTGTTCTTATTTTTAGCATTTTGAGGAAGAAATTGGTAAAGCCACGTGCATTTTCTGGTCTTTAAATCAAGGTTTCAAATGAAGCAGGCACCTTGGGAGAAAGGGAACTTGTGAGGATCCAAATTTGGAGGAATCAGAGAGTGAGTGGGAGGAGTGGGTGAGGTGGTTTTGTAGAGTAATTGACTACACAAAATGGAGAGGTTGAAGATTCTGAGTTAGGTTCCATGATAGATAAATTTACAAGATAGTTCATAATTCATATCCAATGCTAGGCTTTGGTTTCTTTGCCAATGAGAGGGAGTGGAGGTGGAAATTGTCGCCATCATACATTTTTTTTTCTTTTTTGTTCTCAACAATGGTTTTTCAAAACTTTATGCAAAACATTTGTAAAAAAAATTAAGGACTTATTTGTTTATGTTTTAGTTTTTAATTTTTAAAAATTATATTTTAAAATTATTTTAAGAAGAAAATAAAATAAAACTCGTTTATAATATAGTTTTCAAAACATTTAAGATGAGAAAATTAAAGATAAATTTGTTTTTGAAAAGATTTTTTAAGACTAAGAAAAAAATGTGTTTGATTTTATTTATTTTTGTATTTATTATTTTAAATTAAATGAATATATAATATATATGTATATATATTTCATATTTATTTTTAGGATTTTATTTAATTGATATATTTTTTACATTTTAAATAAAATATCAAATTGAAAAATTATTAACATATCAAATTTATCGAAGTCTTTACAAAATTTACATGAGAGAAATGTAAACATTGTTTTATCCAATTTTTAAATTTATGAAAAATTGTTTACTTAAAAACAAAAGTGAGGATGTTAGAAAACATGGCAATTGGCAAGGGAACACTGAAGAAGTAACGAATGAGTTACGAAAGCTATGGAGAAGAATTCAACTTGCATACGATGCACAAGGGATTGCAATGTATACTACAAGAGTACAAAATAGTCACAATAGGACAATTCATGTTAACTGAAATAAATTGTTCTAATAAATTATGTGGCTCTAACATTTCAAACTTGGATTGAAGCTGATGAAAGGGTTCAGGGCCAATGACTTTCTTAGAATATCAAGCCAATTAAAAATGGGAAGAGATATAGAAAGTGTAGAGTGACTTCTTAAACTTCATCTCAAACTACATGACACTTATTTTCATCGTGATTTGTCAGCTCATGAAAAATATGAGCAGAATCATAATCATCTAAAGAAGATAGATTGGTCATTGAGCTTATGTTGCTTGGAACAAGCCAAAACTCTTTATTGTAACGTTTAAAATTTTAATTGTATGTATTATACTCTTAATTGATTTTTTTGATTAATTAATATGAATAAGATTAATTAGAGACTAATTTAAGATTTATTAGAATTTAAATTTATATTAATTAAGTATAATAGGATTAGCAATTTAAAGTAAAACTTAAGTAAATATTAATAAGAAATCAGATGAATAAAAAATCTTTGATTAGAAGAAAAACCAATAGAGTTTTAATAATTAAAAATACTAGTATAAAATAATATTATTTGTCCTAAATCTGTAGGTAGGAAAGTCATCTATCACACCTTGATCCAATAGCTCATAATCAACTATGTGGCTCATTCGAAACCATAAGATTTATGAACCAATCAACACAAGCCAAACAACTCCATTCATCGTGAACACTTAGAAAATTTTCTCTTCCTCATCCTTTCCTCCATTTTTCTTCTTTTCTATCTTGTAATCTTTTCTCTCAAGTTCACCCTTACTTGCAAGTTAGAAACATCATTTAGAGTCAATTTGGTGCTAAAAGAAGTATGGTTCAAGCCTTGTTAGTATGTTTATGTGGATGTGTGTGGTTGTCAAATTTATTTTTAAATCTTTTAATTTATGATATATGTTGTGTTCTTGATGATGTATGGTTGGATTAATGGTGGATTGGGTGAATTAGAGGTAAGTCAAGTAAAAAAACTAAGAAAAGAAAGAAAAAAAATAGCAAATTCAAAAATAGAGTTTCCTAGAACTTCGATATGAATACACATACTGTACTGAGAAAGAAATCAACTCGGTTCCACCCTCAGAAAAAAGAAACTGAATACCTACTCGGCATACTACTCGGCATTCTAGACCGAGTACCCCTCATCAGGATTAAAAGGTAAATAATCCAATTAAAGATAATCAAAATGCTATGGGCCTCAATATAAAAGCTGACTCAGGCCCATTAGCTCAATAGAATGTCTATAAAAAGAAGGTAAGAAATATAGGTAAGGGGTTGACTTCTCATCATTAAATAACATTTATTGCTCAGAACCGAATCCTAACTTTACCATCGGAGTGCCTTTTGCAGGTATTCTCCCTATCCGCCAATCAACAGAAGGACGCCTGATCGGAGGTTTGAAGACAGTTGTTTCCTAAGAAGGAACATTTTGGCGCCCACCGTGGGGCCCGATTAACTTCATTACTCAGGATTAAGCATGGTAATGACGAGAAGCCAGCAGGAAGGGACTTCTAGGCAACAAATGGAGGGCGTCATGCCAGAGGAACCAGTACCTGAAGTGGTAATACAGGGAGGAACGGAAGAAAGCATTCTAGTTGTACTGAGGCAGCTAAGGGCAGAAATGGTGGAGATGAAGAAGGAGCGCGAAAGAGATGCACTGGGACTCTCAGCCCTAAGAAGGGAAAATGTCGGCCTAAGGGAAGAAATAAGGACACACGTCCCCTCCCTAACTACTCCCATCGTCCAAGATCAAGGAGAATCATCAGCGCTGCAAGAAAAATCAAGACACGTATATCAGTCGGTAACCGGGAACGACCGAGACGAACTTGTGAACCGGAGTCCGTTCATTCACCGCATTCTAGAAGCTAAGCTGCCCGATAATTGAAGAGGGTTGGCAATAGACAAATACGATGGCACATCCGACCCCGGAGAACATGTGGACATCTTTACAACACAGGTCGGTCTGTACACAGAAAGCGATGCCTTATGGTGCAGAATCTTTCCTACTTCACTTCGAGGACCCGCGCTTAGTTGGTTCACCCGACTCCCCCCCTCTCTATCGACTCATTCGTAACTCTCACAAGACGTTTCAACTTGCAGTTCGCCACAAGCCGGCCCCATCCTCTAACATCCTTGGCTCTAGTCAACATTCGCCAAGAGAAAGGAGAATCACTTAGAGCGTTTATGAAACGGTTTGGCAAAGTAACTCTTTCAATTCATAACTTGGAACCAGCAGTGGCTATGCACCACCTAACAACAGCGCTGAAGCCGGGACCCTTCGTTAATAGCCTCTGCAAAAAACCCCCGATCGACCTAGATGAGTTGAGGAGTCGGGCTGCGAAATATATGCAAATGGAAGAATTGTCCGAATACCGGAGCCAGGTACGGATGGAACAAGGATCTAATTCAAAAAACGTAGAAAGAAGGGAGACCTTCAAAGCAAGGCGGGGGAACGACAGAGGAAATGAACTTGAGCGACCACCTCGAGGACCGAAGTATCCTTCCTACACGACGCTCAACTCTAATCAATCCAGAATACTTGATCAAGCGTTGGCCACAGAAATATTGAGAATGCCTAGACGCGCTAACACTCCCCCTCGGGCAGATAAAAGTAAATCTTGCCGATACCACCAGAACAGGGGGCACACTACCGAGGAGTGTACGGCACTAAGAGACAAAATTGAAGAATTGATTAAAGGCGAACACCTGAAAAATTTTGTACAGACAGATCCCATAAGGCAATCCAACAAAGGAAGAGACCGCCACCCTGATTCACCAAAAAGATCCGACGACAAAAAATTTGAGCGGCACAGGAGCAGATCCAGAGAGCTCCCACCTAGAAGATTTGAACAAGATAAGTATCCGAAAAGGGTCATTAACACCATAGCCGGAGGGTTCGCTGGTGGAGGACCTACCTATTCGGCTAAAAAGAGGCATCTTCGGCATGTCCGTTCTGTTAATAATGTTTCATTGGACAGCAGAATCTGAATCCCGCCTATTACGTTCACTGACGATGACTTTCAAGGAGTCGATCCGGTACAGGATGATCCCATGGTAATTAGTGTAGACATTCTTAACTGTACTGTTCGAAAAAAACTAATTGACCAAGGGAGCTCGGCCGATATCCTTTACTGGAATATATTCAAGCAATTAGGCATCTCAAAACAAGAACTCAAAGAATATCATGAGCCATTGGTCGGTTTTTTCGGGGAACGAGTAGAGACCAAGGGGTGTATTCACTTGTATACCTCGTTTGGATCAGAGCATGAGGGCAAACGCATAAGAGTCACTTATCTTGTAGTACACGCGAACACATCTTATAATATACTACTCGGTAGACCATCCTTGAACAAATTAAAGGCCATTGTTTCCACTCCACACTTGGCCATGAAATTTCCGTCTGAAAGAGGCCGAATTGTTACCGTCCATGCCGATCAAAAAACAGCCAGGGAATGCTACTTCACAAGTTTACGCCTTAAGCCCTTTCATGGGAATACCCGAGATGTCAATATTGTATCCCCTCGGTCGGAAGAAAAGTTGGATATTGAACTTGATCCTAGAGTGGACGAGGAATATCGAGTCGAGCCCAATGAAAACAAACAATCCTTCCAACTAGTAGTAAAGCCGGAACAAGTTGCGTATTTAGGGATCGGTTTGAACAAACAAGAGAAAGCTGTTCTTCAGAAGATGCTAGTAGATAACGCAGATTTGTTTGCTTGGACAGCCTCGGATATGCCTGGTATTGATCCAGCATATCATTGTCACCACTTATCGGTCTATAAAGGAGCCAAGCCGGTAGCTCAAAAGAGGAGAAAAATTGGTGGTGGCAGAGCAAAGGCGGTAAAAGAAGAAACTAGCAAACTAATACAAGCTGGCTTTATTCGAGAGGTCAGGTATTCAACATGGTTAGCCAACATTGTCATGGTTAAAAAAGCCAGTGGCAAATGGCGAATGTGCACGGACTTCACGAATCTCAATAAAGCATGCCCAAAGGACGCATACCCCCTACCAAACATTGACACCTTGGTCGATGGTGCAGTCGGTCACAAAATACTGAGCTTTTTGGATGCTTATTCTGGGTATAATCAAATACGAATGTACCCCCGGATGAGGAAAAAACAGCATTCATCACAAATTCTGCAAATTTTTGTTATCGAGTGATGCCGTTCGGTTTGAAGAATGCAGGAGCAACATACCAGCGACTCATGAACAAAATTTTTGACAGACAAGTGGGTAAATGCATGGAGGTGTATGTAGACGACATGGTAATTAAATCTCTTGCATTGAAGCAACATCTTGACCACTTAGAGGAGGTATTTGGAGAGGCCAGAAAACATGGTATGAGGTTCAATCCTGAAAAATGTACATTTGGTGTAGCTGGCGGTAAATTCTTGGGCTTCATGTTGTCTGAAAGGGGGATTGAGGCAAATCCCGACAAATGTAGAGCCATCATCGACATGGCCAGCCCTCGCAATGTCAAGGACGTGCAGCGGTTGACCGGGCGAATTGCAGCCTTGGCTAGATTCTTGCCAGTGATGGCAGAAAGGTCTCGGCCTTTCATTGAATTGTTGAAGAAATCGCAGAAATTTGCGTGGTCCAACGAATGTGAGGACGCCTTTGTACAATACAAGCATGTGCTGGCAGCACCACCTGTGTTGATTAAACCAACACTAAATCAGGAAATGATCGTTTATTTGGCCGTGTCCGATCACGCTATCAGTTCGGTTTTACTTCAAGAAACACCTGAACCGAACCCCATATATTTTGTTAACAGGACACTTCAAGGTCCTGAATCTCGATACCAGTTAATGGAGAAAGTGGTACTTGCCTTAGTCCACACAGCTCGTCGGTTAAGACACTACTTTCAGAGCCATCGAATGGTAGTACGTACAGATTGTCCAATGGCCAAAATCTTGAGGAAACCAGAATTGGCGGGTCGGTTGGTGGCATGGACAATTGAATTATCACAATTTGACATCCATTTCGAGAACCGACGCCCCCTTAAAGCTCAGGTGTTAGCCGACTTCATCAACGAGTTCACTACACAACATAATACCATTTTAGACATGTGGAATCTACACGTCGATGGGTCATCAAATCAATCAGGCAGTGGAGCGGGGGTCATTCTTGAAAGACCGAATGCATTCGCCATTGAACAGTCTATCCGGTTCGGATTTAAGGCATCCAACAATCAAGCTGAATATGAAGCTTTACCCGCCGGTCTCAGGCTAGCAAAAGAGATGGGGGTTAAACGCATTACTGCTTGGAGTGATTCAAAAATTGTAACCGAACAAGTTAACGATATCTATCAGATCAGGGACTCGGTCATGCTTAAATATTACCAGGAGGTTAAGAAAATAAAAGCCAAGTTTGAGGAGGTATGTATTCGGTACACACCACGAAACATGAATGCACGAGCCGACAGGCTAGCTAAGCTGGCTAGCCAATGGAAACCAGGGCAGCTGCAGAGCGTGGTTCACCAACAAATCCCCCCACCAAGTGTCACCAAACAAGAATGCATGGACATAGAAAATTCATCTCATAATTGGATGACCCCTCTCATCCGATACCTCACTGATGGCAGTCTCCCACAGGACGCAGCAGCAGCTAAGAAAATAAAAGCACATGCAGCCAAATACCTTCTTCTCAGCAACGAATTGTATCGAAGAGGAATTTCCACCCCCATGCTTAAATGCCTAGACGACGATCAAGCTAAAGACGTCATGAGAGAAATCCATGAAGGTATTTGTGGAATCCATTCGGGCAGACGAACTATGGCAGCGAAAGTGCTCAGAGCTGGATACTACTGGCCAACAATAACTCAAGATTGTCAGTTGTTTGTAAAAAAATGCATTCCCTGTCAACAACACGGCCCTCACCTGCGCCAACACGCCGATACCCTTCGCCACATTAGCTCTCCTTGGCCCTTTGCTATTTGGGGAATGGACCTCCTCGGTCCTTTTCCTTTAGCAAGAGGGTAATGTAAATTTCTCCTCGTCGCCGTGGACTACTTTACCAAATGGATTGAGGCCGAACCCCTAGCATCTATCACGGCCAACAACGTACAAAAATTCACTTGGAAAAACATCATAACACGGTTCGGTCTCCCTCATGCACTAATTACAGATAATAGGCGTCAGTTTGCAAGTCGTCAATTCAACGAGTTCTTGGAAGGCCTGCATATCAAACACCGAGTTACATCTGTTGAACATCCTCAGACGAATGGCCAAGCCGAGGTTGCAAACAAAGTGATATTACATGAATTAAATAGGAGGCTGGGTTCGGCAAAGGGAGAGTGGGCAGAGAAGCTGCCCGAGATATTATGGGCTTATCGGTGCACGCCGCAGACCACAAAAAAAGAAACCCCCTTTCGACTTACCTATGGTACTGATGCCATGGTGCCGGTAGAAATTGGAGAGCCCTCATTCAGGAGGGAGAATTTCAAGGAATCGGCTTATGAAGAGGCTCTGGCCGTCAACCTGGACTTGATAGATGAAATACGTGATCACGCTGCCATTATGACCGAGGCTAGTAAAAGAATGATGGCGAGAAAATTCAACTCCAAAATCAGCCCACGACAATTCTACAAAAACGACCTGGTATGGCGAGTAACTGGGGACGCGCGCAAGGATCGACAAGAAGGGAAGTTGGCAGCTAACCAGGAAGGCCCTTTTCGGGTAACGGCAAGATTAAATAATGGAGCATACAAGTTGGAAACATTGGCAGGAAAGTTAATACCGAGAACCTGGAATGTCACTCATTTGAAGCATTATTATAGTTAAAACCTTGTAATACGTGCACAGGTGTACTCTTTTCCTATCCCAAGTTTTATCCTCTTAAAAGAAAGTGAAAAGGGGTTTTCCTAAGAAGGTTTTTAACGAGGTACCTAATCAATAAAATTCTTCTTTCTTCACCTATACGGTTTTTTATGCACTAAAAATCTTTCAAGCGCCATTCCCTTCCCGAGTACCCCCACTCGGTCAAGGATGAATCAATTATATTTCCCTCCCGAGTACCACCCCTTGGTCAAGGATGAAACAATTATATTTCCCTCCCAAGCTTCACTTGGCCAAGGTTGAATTATTTCCCTCCCGAGTACCCCCACTCGGTCAAGGATGAAACAATTATATTTCCCTCCCAAGCTTCACTTAGCCATGGTTGAATTATTTCCCTCCCGAGTACCCCCACTCGGTCAAGGATGAAACAATTTCCCTCCAGAGTACCCCCACTCGGTCAAGGATGAAACAATTTCCCTCCCGAGTACCCCCACTCGGTCAAGGATGAAACAATTATAATTCCCTCCCAAGCTTCACTTGGCCAAGGGTGAATTATTTCCCTCCCGAGTACCCCTACTCGGTCAAGGATGAAACAATTATATTTCCCTCCCGAGTACCACCCCTCGGTCAAGGATGAAACAATTATATTTCCCTCCCAAGCTTCACTTGGCCAATGTTGAATTATTTCTCTCCCGAGTACCGCCACTCGGTCAAGGATGAAACAATTTCCCTCCTGAGTACCCCCACTCGGTCAAGGATGAAACAATTATATTTCCCTCCCGAGTATCACCACTCGGTCAAGGATGAATCATTTTTTATTTGGCTAAAGGTCGAAATATCTCAATCCCGAATACTCCCACTCGGTCAAAATTAACGATGAGTACATTAAGCATACGAGTTCCTCTTACTTATCACTTGGTTAAGGCTGAATTTTTAAGACGAAATCATCTCCCTTGGCCCCTATCCGGCTAACGATGAGTACATTAAGCGCATCGTATGTTAGTGCAAGTTATTTGGCTAAGGATGAGTATATTAAGCATATCTGATATCAGTGCAAGTTGTATGTGACAAGATACAAAGCATGAGAAAGAAGAATAAAATTCTATTTCAAAATAACTAGTTACAAAAATTGGGCACTAATGACCCATGAATACACAAGGCGAATAATTTAACTTTCTATCCTTTCCGCTGCCTCGGGAGCGGCTGTCTCAG